ATGTCTTGAAATTCATTATTTTAAATATTTAATCTATTTTTTAGTCATTTTAGCCAGGAGGATAAAGCTGTTACTCCAACCCTCTGGAAGAAAAAGCCTTTACATTATCCCTCAAAGAATGATAAATGTAGCAAACGTCCATGGTAAAAAGTTTATGATCCAGCCCTGGCTGGCGTAGCTCAGTGAATTGAGCGCGGGCCTACGAACCAGAGTATTGTGGTTCGATTCCCAGTCAGGGCACATGCCTGGGTTGCAGGCCAGTTCCCAGCAGGGGACGCATGAGAGGCAACCATACATTGATATTTCTCTCCCTCTCTTTCTCCTCCCCTTCCCCTATCTCAAAAAATAAATAAATAAAATATTTTAAAAAAAGTTTATGATCCAATTCCAATTAAATTTCAGATATGTCATTAGCCAGGAGTAATGGACACCTTTTCCTATAATGACATAAGCTGCTGTGTTTCTATTTGTCAGGTTTTTCTTTCCTCATTGAAGTTCATTGGCACTGTTGAAAATCAATAGAATCCACAAATGTACCTTGTCTTATGATGGGATTATATCTTAATCCCATCATAAGATGAAAATATAATAAATTGAAAATATCATAAGTTGAAATACATTTAATATAACCCACCTACTGCACATCATAGCCTAGCCTAGCTTCAAATGTGCTCAGAACACTTACATTAGCTTACAGTTGGGCAAAATCATCTAATATAAAAAAATACAAGGTACAATATAGGTTTTTTACCCTCATGATCACATGGCTGACTGAAAGCTGTACCTCTCTAGCATCATGAGAGAATATTGTATTACATATTACTAGCTTGGGAAAATATTCAAATTAAAATTCAAAGTATGGTTTCTACTTACACATATCACTTTTGAGTCATTGTAAAGTTGAGAAATCATAAGTCAATCCATTCTAAGTCAGGGACTATGTATGAGTAGGTGTACTTTTGAACTTTTAATTTTGTATTAATCTCTTTGTATGCTTTTTGCAATACCATACTGCCTTAATTACTATAGCTTTATACTGAAAAATAGTAGATATCTGCTCAAATCTAAAAAATTTGAGGCTCCCTTTTAAAATTAAATATCTCTTTTCTGATTTAAGTTACAGCTCTCTTACCCCTTACATTTATAATGGTTTTTAGAAATTTTGAATTTAGCAATTCAGTTCTTTGTAAGCAATTTTCTCAGATTAAATTTATTGCCAACTTTTGTTTTATGTTGTGTAGTACTTAATAAGTTTAAACATTATGTATATTTTTCTATTATTGACATAATACATACCAAAAAATGTACAAATGATAACTGTTAACCTTCATGATTTCTGAACACACCCACAAAGTCAGAGCAGGAGACATTTCTGGCACTCCAGAAGTCTTCTTTTCCTCCCTTTCCAATCAATCCCAACTGTAACTGCCAATATTACACTAGAGAGCTTGCATTAGCTATTGTAGGCTGATTGTTAAATTTTCAGGAATTTGGAGTGGCTGTTAAACAGCCATCATTAACAATGAAATGACATCAAGTTGATATTTTAAAATATTTAACTTTTGGTCGAAAATGTTTCACATTAATAATTTTCAATTTTTAAAAGACACAATTTATTGAAGTCAAACTACTGAAAAAAATTCTACCCTGAAAAATCGCGTATGAGAGTACATGAAAACGGATGGCAACAGATTTATATGGCACAACTCATCTTTCTAGTCCGCTTTATTAGTAAAACCTCGAAGCTGCTGCAGAAATCCATGGGAGCACAGAATATGGTAAATGAATTCTCAAAAGGTCTCTGAAAAGAACTTTAAACAATGAAGATGAGGGCCAGGGGCTCAGTTTTTGCTGGCGATGCCCAAAGTTTTCGAAGTACCAAATGTTTCATTTATTTTGGCTAAATGCTTGACAGAACCTATGTTTGTGAAGGGGTGAGAGTGCAAGAAAGAATGAGACCGCAAGCCGTTTATCTTGAAGACTCCACAGTTGTCTAGATTTCCCACTTTGGCTCAGAAATACAGGAGCCAGGGTCCTCCTTCAGCATTGGACATCGAACTTCAAGCCTGGCGTCAGGTGTCATCAACGTAGAGTCAACGGCCTAACTCCGTGGCATGCGCCCTGCCGTCATTGCTGTCGCCCAGGGCGCAACGGCAGGCCTTTGCTTTCGACCTCAGTGTCAGTTTGTCAACTAGCAGGGTTGGAGTCTGTGGGCTTCTGTCTTGAAGGAAGTCTGGGCTGGGCGGCTCAGAATTTCCAATTTGGTTACCTTGGAGCTCGTGTAAACAAGAGAACTGCCCCGAAACCTGACTCTCAATGGCCTCAGCCGATAAACCCTGAGGATTTAGGGAAGACTAAATCTCCCCTAAAGATGAGACTTGGTGAGCTTCCTCCTTCATCCATTGTGAGAATTTTCATTAGATTCTCTGGCAAAAGCATCTTTGCTTTCCTCTTATTTTTTCCTCTGTGTGGGTTCCACAGAGGCAATCGTGCTCCTTTTGATGTAGAATTCAGGCAAATTCATGCTTTTCAATCCTCCCCCTGCCCATTTTGTATACTGTATCATTATGGTATGAAATGAATATCAAATTAATCCTCGAAGGAAAACCAGAAAACACTTGTCTTTGTGGTGAAAAGTGACTGATAAACTTTGGCCAATTTATGGTATATGATATCCATCTGGTATATATTATATGGTATATGATATACGTTTAGGATTGTTTTACTTATTTATTTTTCAGTATATATTATTGATTATCCCATTCCCGCTCCCCGCCCCCACATTATCCCTCTGCCCTGTATACCCCACCAGCATTCCCCATTCCCCTTAGTTCATGTCTACGGACCATTCATACAATTTCTTTGGCTTCTTCATTTCCTATACTATTCTTAATCTATCCCTGTCTATTTTGTACCTACCATTGATGCTTCTAAGTCACTATACATATTTCCCCCATTTTATCCCCTTCCCATCCCTGTGATAGCCCTACCTGTGATCTTCATTTCTGTGATTCTGTTCCTGTTCTGGTTGTTTGCTTAGGTTTTTCTTGTTTGTTTATTTTATTTTATTTTTTTTTAGGTTCAGACTGTCTCACCTGCCCAGTCCACCAGCTGCTGCCTTGCTGTGCATCCTCTCCATTCCAGCTGCCCATCTCCACCCCTCATACCAGTCTGAATGAATGTTTCTTTTTTAACTCCTTGGCTGTCTGACTTTCATAGTGTTTGATATTCTGGCAGTTCTGGTTGTTTTTGTTTTTAAATTGGTTGCTATCCTTTTGGTTGTGTGAAGAAGTGAAGCATATCTACCTATGCCTTCATCTTGACCTGAAGCTTCTCTAAATCTGGATTTAGGATGTTTTTAATTGAGTAAATATAAGTATTCACATGTAACATTTATATAAATGTGAACATGGATCGGTATTTGAGGTCATTTTCTAGCACCTGTCAAGGGTTCCATTTTCTTACTGGTTTCCTGAAGTAGTCCACATTTCCACCTTCCTGTCATTACAGATAACTTTTCCTGTACCCATCTAAAGTTCACCTACTCATTTGTGCATTAAGACCCATTTCTTCTTGTTAACTCAAGGATATCAGGCTGACAGTTTTCCTCTTCATCACATACATTTTGCTTTCTCTTGAATCATTTCCATCAGTGTATGTATAGTTTCCTAAGGCTGTATGTATAGTTTTCCATGACAGAGTACCACAAACTGAGTGTCTTTAAACAGTGGAAATTTACCGTCACATTTCTGGGGTCTAGCTTTCTGAAATGAACGAATTGGCAGGGTTGTGCTACCCCCTGAAGGTTCTATTGAAGACTCTTTCCCTTTTCTTCCTAGCATCTGGTGGGTACTGTCAGTTCTTCATATTAATATTCCTTGGCTCACAGCTGCATCACTCTAATCTCTGCCTGTGTCATTACCTGGCCTTCTTCCTTGTTTGTCTTTGTGCATGTCTTCACATGTATCTTACAATGACACTGGTCATTGGATTTGGGCCTACCATAGACCAGCATGACCTCATATTAACTTGATTACATCAGCAAAGACTGTATATTCAAATGTGGTTATAGTCACAGGTTCCAAGGTCATTTTCTAGCACCTGTCTTGCACTTTCTAGCACTTGGAGTTGAACATATCTTTTTGGAGGATACAATTCAACCCAAAACAATGCAACTAGTCTAGGTTTGGAGAGCTTTAGACAATAGAGAGCCAATGATTTTCTGTGTCAATTTTGCCAGTTTTTCAGATAACTCTCATGGTCAGGTATATCCTTTCGAACTCTTTGGGAGGAGGCATTGTCCAGAGTCTTAATCAGCTTTGGAGAGAAAGAGAAGTAGAGTGAAAGTCTTAAGGCCTGCCCAGTCTATACTTCTTTATGCTGGTACGACTTTGGTGGAGCCCTTATAGTACTCTGTTTTATACCTTGGGCCATATTAATTCTATGAAAATAGTGATATATTTGAAGAGCATATATTAATTTCAAAATGAGGGAAAGCTGAGAATAAGATATTTTAATTCTAATCCAAGGAATGTTCATTGTTTTTAGAGCGAGAGGAATGGGAGGAGAAATTGATGTGAGAGAGAAACATAGATAGTTTGCTTTACATATATGCCCTGACCAGGGATTGAACCCACAACCTAAGTATGTGCTCTGACTGGAACTTGAACTCACAATCTTTTGGTGTATGTGATGATGCCCCAGCCAACTGAGCCACCTGGATGGGGCCAAAAACAATATTTTAGAATTTTCTAAATATATTCTTTCACTGCTGCCAATGTCTTCTTCCATCCTGTCAGCACCCATTCTAAATGCCCATCATAAATCAGCCTTCAGTCACCTCTAGGGGAGTCTTACATTTTTTAAAAAAATTTGATGTTAGGAATGTTTCCTTTTTAATTTGTAATTTCTCCAGAGTTTATTTTGGGATTCACCATCTTCATGGCAATTGATAGTCCCGCCATCAATTTAAATCTGAAATCTTCATCTTTTCTTCACAGGGAGAACTAAAACTTTTTCACCTATAACTTAGAAGCCAAATAACAAAATGAAGCCAGTAAAACATCTGTTGTCCTCTAGTAATAAACTGGCAAATGTTCCAGAATTAAGTTACAGAAAAGGAGTACTTAATTCATCATTGTCACCTAAACCAAAGGAAAAACAAAGTTCAAAATTAGTACGTGATAAACTTGAACCAATGGTTTTAAGATCTCCACCAATGGGAGAATCCATTGTGAGGTATGCTTTGCCCATTCCATCAAGTCAGACAAAGGAGTTAATAGCAGAAAATGAATTGCTCAGGAAAATTACCAAGCACCTGAAGATGGTAAGTCGCTATTGGTCCCTGTGTTGAGGGTCCTCATGACCTTCCCCAGGTTTAGTGATTTGGTAGGTAGACTCACTGGACTCAGTATAAGTCATATTGATAGCTAAGATTTATTACAGTGGAGGGATACAAAGCAAAATTAACAAAGGAAAAAACCCATGGGTGAAGTGTAAAGAAAAACAGGTCCAACTTCCAAGATTCCTCTCCTTTTGGAGTCACAGAAGACATGCTTAGTTCTTCCCAGAGCAAACTGTGACAAAACGTGAAAAGCGTACAAGATATGTTCATTGGAGACTGAGTGCCCAGGGTTTTATTGGAACTTGATCACTTAGGTACTCTTCACTTGTCATATATCAAAATTACAGATTCCTGCCCTGGCTGGTGTGGTTCAGTGGATAGAGCGCTGGCCTGTGAACCAAAGGGTTGCCAGTTCGATTCCCAGTCAGGCCACATGCCTGAGTTGTGGGCCAGGTTCCCAATAAGGGGGTATGTGAGAGACAACCACACATTGATGTTTCTCTCCCTCTTTCCCTCATTTCCCCCTCTGTCTAAAAATAAAAAGTAAATAAAATCTTAAAAAAAAGAAATTTCAGACTCCCTGAAGGAAAACAAGTGTTCAGCTTAAATTATTGTTTATACAAACAGTTTAGGGACAGAGAGCCATTAATCAGTTAATGAATGGTGGGGACTTTCTTGAATTCCAAGTTCTGAGATGCAAGTGGAGTTTTCTAAAAATAGGTTTTTTGAAGTCCTATATCTGTTATGTCAATTCTTCTTTGCAATTTAGAAACTTAAGCTCTTAGTGTTGGGAAATAAATCTCCCTTTCTCTGGGTTTCTTTTTGCCCAATGAGATAGAATTAAATTGTAAATGCAGTGAATACCAAGTGAGAACTGTAGTAGACCACTCTGCCTAGTTTTAGGAATTGTATCTCTACCCCTTGTGGCTAAGGGCGAGAGACGATATTTGGAATGCCAGCCACAGGAGACAAAGCCTGTCTCTAGTAGCAAATGCTGCCTTAGTTTCTCTCCCTGCCCCCAGAGCTTGGTCGGAAGTCAATGACGGGTAAGACCCCTCACAGCGGGGGGCAACCTAAGACAGACTAGATCACCTGGGAGGCCTTCATGGAAGGACTCGGGGGGGCTGCAACAAAGAGCAATGGACTCTGGCCCCCCGGCTTTGACATAGCGCAAGTCCCCAAGTTCTCTGGGAGAAGCGCTTCCTGGCTCTAATCCCCTTAAGCCTGAGTACCTGTTGGGAAGAGGTGCAGCTCCTTGCTTTGCTAGAGTGTGTCCCGGGGAACAATGTGGCATCACAAAGACTTCTTGATAAACCTGTGAAATCTGCTCTGCTAAGAGTGCTTTCATTCATATGATAAGGGTCCGAGAGGAAATGGGTATGTATCCCAAAGTTTCTGCAACTCTTTTTCTGACAGACACTGACTCAGACTTTGAAGCCCTCAGATTTATTTTTAATGTTTTCTACTGTTTGATCCTTGCTGCCCTGTATTCCTGTGTATTACAACCTAATAAAAGGCTGTGGAGAAAGGCGCTCAGGGCCTTTTTCTCCTCAGAGAAACTGGCCACTGCTGGCCTTTGTCTCCCCTGAGAAACTGGCCACAGCCCACCCCTCCTCCCCTAAACAGATCCAGCATGTCTTGGCCATATTCTTATTTATTCACGCATGCCTGTGGCACTGGGGGGACTCACAGAGAGGTCACCCCCCCTTCCCCAGAGAACATCAAGGAATAGCACAAACATAAAAAGAATATAGTTTGTAGAACTTGTGAAATAGAAGTTTGCTCAAAGTTTGAGGGTTTCGTTTAGAGAATTCGCTTTAAAAATTATTGCTTCAGGTCTCTCTATTCTCCCAACTCTCTTCAATCAAGAAGTTTGAGTCAGATTTTGAGGAATATTTTGGTGGTAAGTAGAAGTGGGGAAGTGTTATAGGGCCTCACTTGCTAGGAAATAGGGTCAAGGACTGTTGCTCATCACTGTGATGATAGAAGATGCAAAACAAGACAGAAGATTTAAGTTTATGACACTGGCAGAAATAAATCTTACTGCCAAAAGGTCCTGATATGGTTGATTTAATATTTTTTAAAATGTAATATAATAATTTAACCTAATAAAGTACTTAATTTACTTTGATTTTTCTCATAGGTTGTTTCTACTTTGGAAGAAACTTATGGAATTGGCAATGAAAATGTAGAAAAACCAGTTGTGAAGGCTAAACATGAAGAATTCTCTTTATCTGTAAGTATGCATAACCCTAATGTAGAGACATTGACACTGAAAAGGGCTAAACTTTTTTTTGAGTCCATGTATGTTTACAGAATGAATTTCTCATCCATTAAAATGATCTTCTGCTGGTGTCAGAAGAATGATTGTGTGAGAGATCCCTTTGGTGTTTCTCACTGAAATTTCAATCATTTGAACAACTATAACCCAACAAAGGATTCACTGCTCAACATACAGGCACGCCTGAGAGATCCATGCATGGAAACATCTAAAGGTGGGCAAGCAGGAACAAATGGTAGGTGAGAAGGTTGTAAGGCTCAGACTAGCCATGAATGCAGCCCTGCATCTGGATGCTCACAGCAGAGCACAGGCGGAAGAGGGGGGGAAACCAGTTATGGCTAACATGCCCTTCAGCTGGAAGGAGCAGAGAAATTTGGTGGGCATTCTTGTTGGAGAGAGCAGCACAAGCTGTGGCTGAGCTTGGAGATCTGGGCAAGGGCACAGTATGAGGATGCTGTTGTGGCTGTTGGGCGGTTAGAATTTCAGACAAAGAAGGAAAGTCATGAAGACTGGCTGTTCCATGAACTACCAAAAGTTGCCTTCCTTTGCCCTTGATAGTGGGTTGTGGAGCACATTATCTGTAAACCTGAGAACTGGTATTACAGAATCACTATTTCCCCAGAACTAAGGGTGTACTCTGTAACTGATTCCCAGTTCAGGGGCAGAGGGGAACCTCACAGAGATCTGAGGTTGCCATTACCAGGAGTACAAAACAAAGAAGGTAACTGGATTTCCCCAGATAATGCCACCGCCAAGAATTATGGCCGCACTGTTATCAGCTGTAGGGGTCAGCAATGGGATTTCACAGAGCTAAAATAAAAAAGAAAACAAATGTGATTCAGTGCCATGTACTGGAAGATAATAGAAAGATCTCTTCACAGTGATCTGCTAGAGAAGTGCCACTAATATATAGATACCTGGACAGAGAAGGAAACTGTCAAATACCATGAATAATCAAGTAGCAAGGCATCTCAGAAAGAAAATGAAAAATCTAGACTTCTGGCCAAGATGGAGGTGTAGGTAGTTATACTTAGCCTCCTCACACAACCAAAAGAACAACAAAGAATGTAAATATAGAAAATAACCAGAACTGCCTAATATCAAATTGTATGGAAGGTCTACAACCATGGAGTTAAAGAAGAAACATTTATCCAGACTGGTAAGAGGAGTGAAGATAGGCAGCCAGGGTGGAGAGGATGTGCAGCAATGTGGCAGCTGGCAGACTGGGCAGTCCTTCATTTGCATGCAGATAAGCTGGGAGGAACAACTGAAGAGTGAGAGAGACCGCACACCCAGGGTTCCAGCCTGGGGAAATAAAGCCTCAAAACCTCTGTCTGTAAAAATCTGTGGGAAATGCAGGATGGGAATTTCTCCCACCCTCACAGGAGAGTTTGTTGGAGAGATCCACAAGGTCTTAGAACACACACAAGCCCACCCACCTGGGAATCAGTGCCAGAAGGGCTCAATTTGCTTGTGGGTATTGGGGGAAGTGACTGAAAGCTATCCAAGAGCTGAACAAGCAGCATTATTCCTTCTCTGACTGCTCCACCACATACAGTACCACAAAGCAATAACGTGGGTTTCCCTGTACTGGCAAATACCTAAGGCTCTTCCTTTTACAATGTAACAGGTATGCCAAGAAAAAAATATGGCCCAAATGAAAGAACAGATCAAAGTTCCAAAAATAGAACTAAGCGATGAAAAAGAAATAATCAATCATTCAGATACAGAGTTCGTTGGTAATCAGGACACTCACAGAAATGATTGAGTATGGCTGCAAAATAACAGAAGAGGAGAAGGCTATATTAAGTGAAATAAAGAAAAATATACAGGAAACCAACAGTGAAAAGTAGGAAACTGGGACTCAAATCAACTTTTTGGAACAGAAGGAAGAAATAAACATTCAACCAGAACAGAATGAAGAAACAAGAGTTTAAAAAAATAGGGAGAAGCTTAGAGACCTCTGAGACAACTTTAAACATTCCAACATCTGAATCAGAGGGGTGCCAAAAGGAGAAAAAGGAAGAACTTGAGTAAGAATTTGAATGCAAAATTTCCCTAATCTGGCAAAGGAAGTAGACTTCCAGGATGTCAGGAAGCTCAAAGAGTTCCAAAGAAATTGGACCAAAGGAAGTACACACCAAAGCACATCATAATTACATTATTCAAGATTGAAGCTAAAGAATCTTTTTTCTTTTTTTATTGATTATGCCATTACATTTGTTCTATTTCCCCCTCCATTCCCCTTCACCCTTCACACTCCTCCCCCGCCATTCCCCCCCTTTAGTTCATGAACACGTGTCTCAAGTTCTTTAGATTCTGTATTTCCCCTACTATTCTTACCCTCCCCCATCTATTTTCTATCTACTGTCTATGCTACTTATTTTCTGTACCTTCTCCCCACTTCTCCTTCTCCCACTCCCCTGTTGCTAATCCTCCATGTGATCTTCATTTCTGTGGTTCACTCCTAATCTACTTGTCCTCTTAATTTGCTTTTGTTTTAGGTGTGGTTGTTGATAACTGAGTTTTCTGTCCTTTCACTGTTCATCTTTTTTATCTTCTTTTTCTTAGGTAAGTCCCTTTAACATTTCATATAATAAGGGCTTGGTGATGATGAACTCCTTGAATTTGGTCTTATCTGAGAAGCACTTTATCTGTCCTTCCATTCTAAATGAAAGCTTTGCTGGATAGAGCAATCTTGGATGTAGGTCTTTGGTTTTCATGACTTGGAATACCTCTTTCCAGCTCCTTCTTGCCTGTAAGCTCTCTTTTGAGAAATCCGCTGACAGTCTGATGGGAACTCCTTTGTAGGTGACAGTCTCCTTATCTCTTGCTGCTTCTAGGATTCTCTCCTTCATTTTTTAAAAATATTTATTTATTTTTTGAGAGAAGGGAAGGGAAGGAGAAAGAGTGGGAGAGAAATATCAATGTATGGTTGCCTCTCATGCGTCCCCTGCTGGGAACTGGCCTGCAACCCAGGCATGTGCCCTGACTGGGAATCGAACCGCGATACTCTGGTTCACAGGCCCACGCTCACTCCACTGAGCTACATCAGCCAGGGCTCTCTCCTTCGTTTTAATCTTGGCTAATGTAATGATGATGTGCCTTGGTATGTTCCTTCTTGGGTCCAACTTCTTTGGGACTCTCTGAGCTTCCTGGATTTTCTGGAAGTCTACTTCCTTTGCCTGAATGGGGAAGTTCTCTTTTATTATTTGTTCAAATAGGGTTTCCACTCATGACTGTTTCTCTTCCCCTTCTGGTACCCCTATAATTTGAATGTTGGAATGTTTAAAGATGTCCTGGAGGTTCCTAAGCCTCTCCTCATTTTTTTGAATTCTTGTTTCTTCATTCTTTTCTATTTGGTCATTTTTTCTTCCTTCTGGTCTACTCCCTTGATTTGAGTCCCAGTTTCCTTTCCATTACTATTGGTTTCCTATGCATTACCATTCATTTCAATTAGTTTAGCCTTCATATGTTCCTCTAATTTGTGACTAAAATTAACCAGTTCTGTGAGGATCCTGATCACCAGTGTTTTGAACTGTGCATCTGAAAGTTTGGCTATTTCTCCTTCATTTAGATTTATCAGCTCTGGGGCTCTGAGTTGTTCTTGAGCCATGTTTTTATCTGTTTCTGCCTGTTACATATGAGGAGCGGAGCCTTAGTTGTTTACCAGGGCAGGGCTACCCGGGTCACTGGTTTCTGATGCTTTAGGTGGGAGCAGGGTCAGAGAGGGAGCTATGGCAGTCCTCTCCGCTCTCCCAATTCATCCCACCGCTCGCCCTGGCCTGTTTATCTGAGCGGAAATGTGCAAGCCCACTGCCCTCCGCCAAGCAGTCTCAATGCTCGCCTCTTCACTGGTTTATCTGCACGAAAATGCTCTACCGACCGCAGATAGCCAGCTGTGCCTCTTCTCTGTGTCTGCCCATAGCTAGCCCACACCTGGGATCCGTGCCTTCAGCTGCCTGCGCACCACCCCTGTCGGGGATCTTTTTGGCCAACCCTCTCTGCTGCTGGCTTCGCCCCTCTTACCGGTTTAGCTGAGCATTTTGTTGTTTTTGGACTCCGTATTGTCGATTTTCTGTGTGGTTTGCTTTCATTTATTGTTGTTAAAACTTTATTATTTTTAGATTTGGTTGTGCGAGGACGCAAGGTGTTTCCACCTATGCCTCCATCTTGGCGTAAGTCTAAAGAGAGAATCTTAAAAGCAGCAAGAGAAAAGAAGAACATTGCCTACAAAGGAGTTCCCATAAGACCAGTGGCTTTTTTCTCAAAAGAAACCTTAGAGGCAAGGAGAGACTGGAAAGAAGTATTCAAAGTCATGAAAGGCAAGAACCTACATTCAAGATTACTCTATCTAGGAAACCTATCATTCAGAATGCAAAGGCAGATAAAGTGCTTCCCAGATAAGGTCAAGTTGAAGGAGCTCATCATCACCAAGCCCTTGTATGAACTGTTAGATAGGGACTTCTCTAAGGAAAAGAAGGAGATCAAAACTCTACACATTAAAATGGCAACAAACTCACAACTATCAACAACTGAACCTGAATAGCAACAAAAACAAAAACAAACTAAGCAAACAACTAGAACAGGAACAGAATCACAGCAATGGAGATCACATGGTTTGTCAGTGGGGAGAGGGAGGGGGTGAATGGGGGAAAAGTTACAGGGAATAAGTAGTGTAAATGGTAGGTAGAAAACAGGCAAGGGGAGGTTAAGAATAGTATAGGAAATGTAGAAGCCAAAGAACTTATATGTATGACCCATGGACATGAATTGAGGGTGGGGAATGTGGGTGGGAGAAGGTTGCAGGGTGAAATACATTATAGGCAATAAAATGTATTAAAAAATAGAAACACAGGAATGACTCAGAGAGCAGAAGAGAGAGATTTGAGCACTATGGGATCAATCTGATTCCATCAGAGCAATACAATATAAGACTTATAGGCAGGCATACC